GACAAGGTTTCCTGAAGCACCCCTTAGTCTACGTGACCCGTTTGGAATTTTTGGGTCATTGACCGAGGCCTTCCGCTAGCTTACGGTCAACCCTTTTAAAAATTTTTTCATAAGTAAAACCCCTGTTAAAAACAGCTGTTGGAGTGTGGTGAGGTAGCTTTTATGAAGGGATTCAGGGAAACCAGATGACCAAACTAGAGACCAGGAGGTAGGAAGGGCAGTGCCTGCACTCTGAAGGAGGGGTGGGAATACTGTAATTGGAAGGTAATCTAACTGTGATGTCAGAACACTTTTGGAAAGATGGTGACTGAACGAATGTTGGTGAATGAGTTTTCTTCTTTGGGCCACCTGCCTTGGTGGGAGATGGCCACTGAGTTATAAATAATAATAATAATAATCAATAATAATGATAATAATAATCCATCAAAGAATTTTTTTTTTTATTATTATTATTATCACACTGGCCGATTCCCACCAAGGCAGGGTGGCCTGAAAAAGAAAAACTTTCACCATCATTCACTCCATCACTGTCTTGCCAGAAGGGTGCTTTACACTACAGTTTTTAAACTGCAACATTAACACCCCTCCTTCAGAGTGCAGGCACTGTACTTCCCATCTCCAGGACTCAAGTCCGGCCTGCCGGTTTCCCTGAACCCCTTCATAAATGTTACTTTGCTCACACTCCAACAGCACGTCAAGTATTAAAAACCATTTGTCTCCATTCACTCCTATCAAACACGCTCATGCATACCTGCTGGAAGTCCAAGCCCCTCGCACACAAAACCTCCTTTACACCCCCTCTCTCCAACCTTTCCTAGGCCGACCCCTACCCCCCTTCCTTCCACTACAGACTGATACACTCTTGAAGTCATTCTGTTTCGCTCCATTCTCTCTATATGTCCAAACCACCTCAACAACCCTTCCTCTCAGCCCTCTGGACAACAGTTTTGTAATCCCGCACCTCCTCCTAACTTCCAAACTACGAATTCTCTGCATTATATTCACACCACACATTGCCCTCAGACATGACATCTCCACTGCCTCCAGCCTTCTCCTCGCTGCAACATTCATCACCCATGCTTCACAACCCATATAAGAGCATTGGTAAAAACTATACTCTCATACATTCCCCTCTTTGCCTCCAAGGACAAAGTTTCTTGTCCTCCACAGACTCCTAAGTGCACCACTCACTCTTTTTCCCTCATCAATTCTATGATTCACCTCATCTTTCATAGACCCATCCGCTGACACGTCCACTCCCAAATATCTGAATACATTCACCTCCTCCATACTCTCTCCCTCCAATCTGATATTCAATCTTTCATCACCTAATCTTTTTGTTATCCTCATAACCTTACTCTTTCCTGTATTCACCTTTAATTTTCTTCTTTTTCACACCCTACCAAATTCATCCACCAATCTCTGCAACTTCTCTTCAGAATCTCCCAAGAGCACAGTGTCATCAGCAAAGAGCAGCTGTGACAACTCCCACTTTGTGTGTGATTCTTTATCTTTTAACTCCACGCCTCTTGTCAAGACCCTCGCATTTACTTCTCTTACAACCCCATCTATAAATATATTAAACAACCACGGTGACATCACACATCCTTGTCTAAGGCCTACTTTTACTGGGAAATAATTTCCCTCTTTCCTACATACTCTAACTTGAGCCTCACTATCCTCATAAAAAACTCTTCACTGCTTCAGTAACCTACCTCCTACACCATACACTTGCAACATCTGCCACATTGCCCCCTAGCCACCCTGTCATACCCTTTTCCAAATCCATAAATGCCACAAAGACCCTTTAGCCTATCTAAATACTGTTCACATTATATGTTTCACTGTAAACACCTGGTCCACACACCCCCTACCTTTCCTAAAGCCTCCTTGTTCATCTGCTATCCTATTCCTCCGTCTTACTCTTAATTCTTTCAATAATAACTCTACCATACACTTTACCAGTATACTCAGCAGACTAATCCCCCTATAATTCTTGCACCTCTTTATCCCCTTTGCCTTATAACAAAGGAACTATGCATGCTCTCTGCCAATCCCTAGGTAACCTTACCCTCTTCCATACATTTAATTAAATAATTGACAACCAACCACTCCAAAACTATATCCCCACCTGCTTTATTAACATTTCTATCTTTATCCCATCAATCCCGCTGCCTTACCCCCCTTTCATTTACCTACTGCCTCACGAACTTCCCCCACACTCACAACTGCTCTTCCTCACTCCTACAAGATGTTATTCCTCCTTGCCCTATACACGAAATCACAGCTTCCCCTATCTTCATCAACATTTAACAATTCCTCAAAATATTCCCTCCATCTCCCAATACCTCTAACTCTCCATTTAATAACTCTCCTCTCCTATTTTTAACTGACAAATCCATTTGTTCTCTAGGCTTTCTTAACTTGTTAATCTCACTCCAAAACTTTTTCTTATTTTCAACAAAATTTGTTGATAACATCTCACCCACTCTCTCATTTGCTCTCTTTTTACATTGCTTCACCACTCCTTTAACCTCTCTCTTTTTCTCCATATACTCTTCCCTCCTTGCATCACTTCTACTTTGTAAAAACTTCTCATCAGCTAACTTTTTCTCTCCTTACTACTCTCTTTACATCATCATTTCACCAATCGCTCCTCTTCCCTCCCGCACCCACTTTCCTGTAACCACAAACTTCTGCTGAACACTCTAACACTACATTTTTAAACCTACCCCATACCTCTCGACCCCATTGCCTATGCTCTCATTAGCCCATCTATCCTCCAACAGCTGTTTATATCTTACCCTAACTGCCTCCTCTTTTAGTTTATAAACCTTCACCTCTCTCTTCCCTGATGCTTCTATTCTCCTTGTATCCCATCTACCTTTACTCTCAGTGTAGCTACAACTAGAAAGTGATCTGATATATCTGTGGCCCCTCTATAAACATGTACATCCTGAAGTCTACTCAACAGTCTTTTATCTACCAAACATAATCCAACAAACTACTGTCATTTCGCCCTACATCATATCTTGTATACTTATTTATCCTCTTTTTCTTAAAATATGTATTACCTAAACTAAACCCCTTTCTATACAAAGTTCAATCAAAGGCTCCCATTATCATTTACACCTTGGCACCCCAAACTTACCTACCACACCCTCTCTAAAAGTTTCTCCTACTTTAGCATTCAGGTCCCCTACCACAATTACTCTCTCACTTGGTTCAAAGGCTCCTATACATTCACTTAACATCTCCCAAAATCTCTCTCTCTCCTCTGCATTCCTCTCTTCTCCAGGTGCATACACGCTTATTATGACCCACTTCTCACATCCAACCTTTACTTTAATCCACATAATCTTGAATTTACACATTCATATTCTCTTTTCTCCTTCCATAACTGATCATTAACATTACTGCTACCCCTTCCTTTGCTCTAACTCTCTCAGATACTCCAGATTTAATCCCATTTATTTCCCCCCACTGAAACTCTCCTACCCCCTTCAGCTTTGTTTCGCTTAGGGCGAGGACATCCAACTTCTTTTCGTTCATAACATCAGCAATCATCTGTTTCTTGTCATCCGCACTACATCCACGCACATTTAAGCATCCCAATTTTATAAAGTATTTCTCTTCTCTCTTTTTAGTAAGTGTCTACAGGAGAAGGGGTTAACTAGCCCATTGCTCCCGGCATTTTAGTCGCCTCATACGAACACGCAGGCTTACGGAGGAAAGATTCTTTTCCACTTCCCCATGGACAATAGAAGAAATAAAGAAGAACAAGAACTATTTAGAAAAAGGAGAAAAACCTAGATGTATGTATATATATATGCATGTGCGTGTCTGTGAAGTGTGACCAAAGTGTTAGTAGGAGTAGCAAGATATCCCTGTTATCTAGCGTGTTTATGAGACAGAAAAAGAAACCAGCAATCCTACCATCATGCAAAACAGTTACAGGTTTCTGCTTCACAGTCATCTGGCAGGACGGTAGTACTTCCCTGGGTGGTTGCTGTCTACCAACCCACTACCTCGAATTTTTTTTACTTTTATATATAAAATATGTCATCACTGCTTTCTATACTGAAGAATGAGTCACTGAAATACATACAGGCTACTAAGCACCTGAATTTTTACAAAAGGAATAAAAAAGCATTAAGACAATTGTGTGAGGGAGGGTTTTTGATCCAAGTGATTGGAACAACTCTTCCCTTCCTTGAATCAAATCTGATTACCTTCCATTGTCCAGGTGCTGTATAACCCATACAGGTTTAGTGCTTTCCCATGAATTTAATAATAATAATTACCATTGAATCCTGGTTCACCCTTGAAGCCTGGTAGACCTTGAAGGCCAAGTCGTCCTGGGAAACCTGGCTCTCCTTTAGGTCCCTGAAGACCTGGAAGACCTCTGCGACCTGCCTCACCCTTGGGACCTGGAGGTCCTGGAAGGGCATATGCTGCTTCACCCTTGTCACCTTTAACTCCTGGCACTCCAGGCGTGCCTGGCACACCCTACACCAAAAAAAGACTTATTATAAGGAATTCAAATACATTATAAGATTTTTATAACATACTGGTTGTCTCCCACAGAGGTAGGGTGACCTGAAAATGAAACACTTTCACCATCACTTATTCCATCACTGTCTTCCCAGAGGTATGCCAATATCACAGTTCAGATGACCCCCAAACTGTAAATATCTCCACCCTTCCTCAGTAGGGTGGCTAACTGGTTTCTCTGAATCCCTTCATAAAAATGTTACCTTGCTCACACTAACAGCTCATCAAGTCCCAAAAATCATTTGCCACTATTCACTCCTATCTAATATGCTCAAACATGCCTTCTGGATATCCAACATATCCAGCAGGCACATAAAACTTCCTTTATCCCCTCCCTCCAACCTATCCTACGATGACTCCTACCCTGCCTTCCCTCCACTATAGATTTATACACCCTCCGAACTAATCCTGTTTTGCTCCATCCTCTCTCAATGTCCAAACCACCTCAACAACCCCTATTCTCAGTCTTCTGGATAATACTTTTAGTAACTCCACGCCTCCTACTAATCTCCAGGCTATGAATTCTCTGCCTAATCTTTAAGATGTAAGATATAGGGTATTACTAGATGCACGTATATACCTCTGCTTGTTTCTGCATTGTGCATTGATATAAAAATCACTTGTGTAGTCAGAATATACAGGAGGCAAATGAAAAAGCTTGAAACCATGCTTGAGGTCCACTGGTGTGCCTAGACTAGAAAGAAACATGGCTTGTAACCAGGCTGCCTAGCTTCTGAGGCATCTGAGGCCGAATGGTCAAAAGCGTCACTTGGGGAGCCTTGCCACTCTCTGATGTGGTTTTGAATCCTGCTGGCAGCAATCTTTCTCTGTGTATATATGTATTAAACCCCTTCATTTATTCTAAACATTTACACAGTTCCCTTCTACCTCCATTAAAATAAAAAAAAGGATTAAAACAATGGTGATACTGTGGAAAGGTTGGAAATTCTGTTTATTGAAAACCTAGACTTGTGTTTCTCTCTGTAGCAATATGATAGATTCAAACATTTTTCTAATACCTTAATTACTAACCTCTTTTCCTGGTAGACCTGGTACTCCTGCTTGGCCATCCTCACCCCTCTCTCCTGTGTAACCGATCGAGCCTGGTGGTCCTCGTGGGCCCTGAATTCCTGGCAATCCTTCAGGTCCAGGTTGGCCTTTTTCACCTTTCTCACACTGGTCACATTCACAGTCTAGACCCCTGTCACCTTTTGCTCCATCACGACCTGTATGATTTATATATTTATGTAAACACTGCAATCACAGACATTAATACACAGCTTTATACCAATTACTCTACTATTTTCTATGGTGGATTTTTATACAGTAATCCCTTTTATAAAGTGACATCCCATATTGTAATTTCATGTAAACACAATGAAAGAGTACATCAAGAATTTCACAGTGGAAAAAACCTTGATATCATATGCCATAAATCTAACAAAAATTAAATATTTTAATGTGCTAAATTTGGGTAGTACCCTTCAAAGACTCAGTCTGCTCAGGCCACAAGTGGTGTCGCTCCTCCCCAGCCTTCTACTGTTTTTGCTGAATGAGAGGAAAGTAATGTCCAAAATTTACATAATTTATAGATTTTTTCTTATACAATACAGTATGTTTCTGAAAGCTTGTTTGCTTGTGTGTTTCTTTTAACTCAACCCTGTGAATGCCAATGCAGCCAAAATTTGTCCAAGGCTTCTTTATCCTGGAGAAGGTTTTAGGCTATATTATAGTCTAAAATTTTAATTTAAGGGGCAGTGCCCCTTGGAAGTGGCATTTTTTTGGCTGTATTATGATGTGTGGCACATCATTTTAAGCTCTTTTTATACTGACTACAAAACATATACATTTCCAACCTAACATGATCAGCTTTAATACAAAATTTGGCCTAATAGAAATCAATATTTTTTCTCTGATATGGCTTCATCAAATGCGTATCTTTGGTGTTTATGTTTCTCTGGTACAGGCATTGTTATTTCTTATATGTTTGGTACAATTTGTTGAGGAAATGTGGCTTTTATTTTAACATTGTTGACATGTACCAAGTGTGGGTCAGCTAATAAACTGTGCTACAATGAACTTGGCCCAGTACAACCATGTTAAGTCTACTTACACTCTTCAAATGCTTCAAGTAATAACTAACAGAGTAAGTTATAGTGTCATAATTTCAACCTAGTAAAATAACAGTATTGTAACAAAAGAAAACTGTCTGGTATATATGGAGGTATCTCGAACGTAACTATTTTTCCATTTGTTCATCACTTCACGTAATAGATTTTTCAAGAATGTATCCCACATGTTACGAGAGAGTATATTTTATATGATTTTATTTACACTGATGTTTACATTCAAATATTCATTGGTAAAGTATAAGTTCAATTTTAAAAACTTCAGGATTCAAAAGAGACTTTCAAACATTATTTTTTTATTTTTTTTTTTTTTTTGTAATTCAGGACTACCTGTATCTTCAAAATGGTTTCTAGATAGGACAATGCTGTATGAATAATGAAGAGACTCATAAGACCCCAATGAAGAAAATAACAGTAATACAAGTAATCTTTACTGAATGATAACTTGGTTAATGTAAAATTTTGTAATGACAAATGATACACTTGAAAACAAACTCACATAACGATAAATTTCTGGATCAACTCTACTTTTTCAGTACATCTATTATCTGAAATTAATGTAAAAACAGATTTCTAGTTCTTGTATTTTGACTCTGTCTTGGGTCTTCTTGGCCAAGGCAAATTGTTATCTGTCTAATCCCATAAAATAACTTGCCATATGAATACTGGAGCAAAGTACACAAAGCTGGACTAGACACTGACTTTTTTTTTTTAATGCATTGGCCATCTCCCATTAAGGCAGAGTGACCTAAAAAGAAAAACAAGTTTTTGTTTTTAGGTCACCTATATGTAAAATGAAAAGTGCAAAGTTTTGTTTTTACGTATAGTAATTTATATAAAAGAAGGGGTTACTAGCCTCTTGCTCTCAGCATTTTAGTCACCTCTTATAACACGCATGGCTTAAGGAGGAAGGATTCTTCTCCATTTCCCAATGAAAATACCAAAATTTAAATTCAGCAAAACAGCTTGAAGAGCTTGGATAAGTACAGAATATTTTACTTTTAACTACTGGAATATCTTACTGATAATTACCAATGCTCGACCTTTGGACACTACTTGCTCACTATGAACTTGTAAACTACAATAAATAGTTAACTGCTGTAGAACAATACTGTACTGCATTTTCTGTCTGCCTAGCATCTTTGAGCTGCACCTCAATATAAATATTAGCTTGTAGTTTATATTTTCTTCTACTTTTATTTATTCACTGTCACTTTTAAAACTTTAATAATACTTTTTCTTGTATATTATTTGCTCATATTGTTTTTATCATCTATTTCTTAATTAAGAAAATGTATGTGTGTGTGTGTGTGTGTGTACTCACCTAGTTGTACTCACCTAGTTGAGGTTGCGGCGGTCAAGTCCGAGCTCCTGGCCCCGCCTCTTCATTGATCGCTACTAGGTCACTCTCCCTGAGCCGTGAGCTTTATCATACCTCTGCTTAAAGCTATGTATGGATCCTACCTCCAATACATCGCTTCCCAAACTATTCCACTTACTGACTACTCTGTGGCTGAAGAAATACTTCCTAACATCCCTGTGATTCATCTGTGTCTTCAGCTTCCAACTGTGTCCCCTTGTTACTGTGTCCAATCTCTGGAACATCCTGTCTTTGTCCACCTTGTCAATTCCTCTCAGTATTTTGTATGTCGTTATCATGTCCCCCCTATCTCTCCTGTCCTCCAGTGTCGTGTGTGTGTGTGTGTGTGTGTGTGTGTGTGTGTGTGTGTGTGTGTGTGTGTGTGTGTGTGTGTGTGTGTGTGTGTGTGTGTATGTGTGTATGTGTGTATGTGTGTATGTGTGTATGTGTGTATGTGTGTGTGTGTGTATGTGTGTGTATGTGTGTGTGTGTGTGTGTGTGTGTGTGTGTGTGTGTGTGTGTGTGTGTGTGTGTGTGTGTGTGTGTGTGTGTGTACTCACCTATTTGTGGTTGCAGGGGTCGAATCATAGCTCCTGGCCCCGCCTCTTCACTGACTGCTACTAGGTCCTCTCTCTCCCTGCTCCATGAGCTTTATCATACCTCGCCTTAAAACTATGTATGGTTCCCGCGTGTGTGTGTGTACTCACCTATTTGTGGTTGCAGGGGTCGAGTCACAGCTCCTGGCCCCGCCTCTTCACTGATTGCTACTAGGTCCTCTCTCTCCCTGCCCCATGAGCTCTATCATACCTCGCCTTAAAACTATGTATGGTTCCCGCCTCCACTACGTCACTTTCTAGGCTATTCCACGGCCTGACTACTCTATGACTGAAGAAATACTTCCTAACATCCCTTTGATTCATCTGAGTCTTCAACTTCCAATTGTGACCTCTTGTGTCTGTGTCCCTTCTCTGGAACATCCCGTCTTTGTCCACCTCGTCTATTCCGCGCAGTATTTTATATGTCGTTATCATGTCTCCCCTGACCCTCCTGTCCTCCAGTGTCGTCAGGCCGATTTCCCTCAACCTTTCTTCATAGGACAATCCCCGTAGCTCTGGGACTAGTCTTATTGCAAACCTTTGCACTTTCTCTAATTTCTTGACGTGTTTGACTAGGTGTGGATTCCAAACTGGTGCTGCATACTCCAGTATGGGCCTGACGTAAATGGTATACAGAGTCTTAAACGAATCCTTACTGAGGTATCGGAACGCTATCCATAGGTTTGCCAGGCGCCCGTATGCTGCAGCACTTATCTGATTGATGTGCGCCTCAGGAGATATGCTCAGTGTTATGCTCACCCCCAAATCTTTTTCCTTGAGTGAGGTTTGCAGTCTTTGGCCATCTAAACTATATTGTGTCTGCGGTCTTCTTTGTCCTTCCCCGATCTTTATGACTTTGCATTTGGCAGGGTTAAATTCAAGGAGCCAGTTGCTGGACCAGGCTTGTAGCCTGTCCAGGTCTCTTTGTAGTCCTGCCTGATCCTCATCCGATTTGATTATTCTCATTAACTTCGCATCATCTGCAAACAAGGACACTTCTGAGTTTATCCCTTCCGTTATGTCGTTCACATATACCAAGAACAGCACAGGTCCTAGGACTGACCCCTGGGGAACCCCGCTTGTCACAGGCGCCCACTCTGACACCTCGTCGCGTACCATGACTCGTTGTTGCCTCCCTGTCAGGTATTCTCTGATCCATTGCAGTGCCTTTCCTGTTATGTGTGCCTGATCCTCTAGCTTTTGCAGTAACCTCTTGTGAGGAACTGTGTCGAAGGCCTTCTTGCAGTCCAAAAATATGCAGTCGATCCACCCCTCTCTCTCTTGTCTTACTTCTGTCACCTTGTCATAAAACTCTAGTAGGTTTGTGACACAGGATTTTCCTTCCCTGAAACCGTGCTGGTTGTCAATTATACACTTGTTTCTTTCCAGGTGCCCCACCACTCTCCTCCTGATGATCTTCTCCATGACCTTGCATACTATACACGTTAGTGATACAGGTCTGTAGTTTAGTGCCTCATGTCTGTCTCCCTTTTTAAAAATTGGGACTACATTTGCCATTTTCCATACCTCAGGGAGTTGCCCAGTTTCAAATGATGTGTTGAAGATCTTTGTTAATGGCTCACACAATATCTCTGCTCCCTCTTTAAGGACCCATGGAGAGATGTTGTTTGGTCCCACCGCCTTTGAGGTGTCAAGTTCGCACAGCAGCTTCTTCACCTCCTCCTTGGTTATATGTACCTCATCCAGCACTTGCTGGTGTGCCCCCCTGTTCTGATTTCCAGGAGTCCTACTGCTTTCCACTGTAAATACCAGTCTGATTACCTGGTCCTTGACTGTTGTTTTCCTCCTGATGTGGCTGTACAACAGCTTCGGGTCAGTCTTTACTTTTGATGCTATGTCATTTTCATATTGTCTCTGAGCCTCCCTTCTTATCTGTGCATATTCGTTTCTGGCTCTTCGGCTGATTTCTTTATTTTCTTGAGTTCTCTGTCTTCTGTACCTTTTCCATTCTCTAGTACACCTAGTTTTTGCCTCCCTACACCTTTGGGTGAACCAAGGACTCGTTCTGTTCTTCCCATTATTTCTGTTTCCCTTGGAACAAACCTCTCCCTACCTCCTTGCATTTTGTTGCTACATAGTCCATCATTTCTTGTACTGGTTTTCCTGTCAGTTCCCTCTCG